CTGGGGGCGTGGTCAGGGTGGAGCCCCGCCTAGAATCCCCAGTGAGGGGCTGGGGGCGTGGTCAGGGTGGAGCCCCGCCTAGAATTCCCCAGTGAGGGGCTGGAGGCGTGGTCAGGGTGGAGCCCCGCCCAGAATCCCCCAGTGAGGGGCTCGAAGCCTGGTTCAGATAACAAGATGCACCAATGCCCAACTTTGCAACGTGGGTTTTGTGCCTGCAGCCCGAGGGAAGGTGCTGGGCAGCCACCATGCCTGAGCAGACCGGTGGGATCCAGTCTTCTCTGGAGGGGCCCGGTTGGGCCCAGCAGGTGTCCTGACCTAGGCTCCAGGCTTCTGGTTTCTGCCACCCTGACACATGGGGGGGGTGACTCACTGTTGGGTGGAGTCTGTGCGCTCCGGAACATTCCCTCCCTGCTGCACGCGTGGGGCGGAGGGGCTCTCCCCAGACGCCCACCCTCCTCTGGGCAACTTCCAGAACCCGGTAATTATTTCCCGTGTGGTTTTTTTGCTGAGATTCGGGGGAGCACCGAGCGTCTCCAGACAGGATTCTTCCGGCCCAGTGGGGCCCTGTGACCCCCTGCGGTGTCCTGGGCTGTGTCCCCGGCACCGTGGCGGCCTGTCACCCGGGACAGAGCGGGGGGTCGGGGAATCAAGGCCAGGCTGGCTGTGGAGTGAGCCTAAGGGCAGCCTGAGCTACAGAGAGAGGGCTGTGGGCAGGGCTCAGGCATAACCTGGGCAAAGGGCCTGAGTTCCATCCCCGGACGGGCATTCCACACCGACAAACACAAAGTCTCTGCCGTCGTGGGAGGCTTGGGACCGGGTCGGGACGGCCAGGCGTGACGGGGGTACCCAGAAAATGCGGCCCGGTCACCTGCCCCTGTGACAGCTGGGGAAACTGAGGCTCTGGGGAGGAAAGGCGTTGTCGGGCTCTGGGCCGAGTTCGGTTTTGTTTGATTTTTTGAGACCGAGTCACACTGGCCCAGGCTGACCTCCCACGTCCCCTCCTGCAGCCGCGGCCCCCTGAAAGCCCCACACACCGGGGCCAGGACGCTGCTGTGAAAGGTCCACGGCGGGGTCAAGGCCGAGCGAGGGCCCCGAGCTGGAGGAGCGGGAGAACGGGCGGCAGCGTGGGCAGCGTGGGCAGCGTGGGCAGGGCGGGCAGCGTGGGCAGGGTGATCAGGGCGGGCA